GAATACCAAGCGGCCGCAAAACCCCTCCAACGTTCTGTGTACGCCAAAAAGCTCCGATCAGTTCTCAGAGCCGCTAAAAAGGAATATCAAGCACAGCTAGTCGAAAAATTGACCACGCCGAACGATGTTTTTAGCTTGATGAGAAAGGCTACTCCTAGACAGTCAAGCATTCCTCCACCTCTTAACCACAATGGAGTTCTCATCTCTGTTCCGCTAGAGCGAGCCACAGTTCTCCGTGACTCTCTCATTGCAAGACACCAAACATCGGACGACCTGCCAGCATACACTGCGGCTAGCAATAACCGGATACCATGTAGGGATGAAATCTCCGAGCAAGAAGTCCGAGCTTGTGCCATCGGCTGTGGAAATACGGCCCCAGGAGCAGACAGAGTTTCCGTACAACTACTAGTGGCCTGCTGGAAGATAATTGGACCATGCGTAGTCAAACTCTTCAGAGCTTGTATACAACTTGGTACGCACCCGACTTGTTTCAAATTGGCCGAAGTGATTCTTGTACAGAAGCCTAAAAAGGAACCAACAACGGTCAAAGATTGGAGGCCAATCGCCCTTCTTTCTTGCCTTGGTAAGGGCTAGAACGGCTTCTGGCAAAACGGATGGCTCACCTAGCAGTAACTTGTGATCTGTTTGGTCGGCAACAATTCGGCGCGCTCTCGAGACGTTCAGCAAAAGACCTAGTCTCCTGTGTGATGCATGATGTTAAGGAGGCGTGCACTCAGGGGTGGGCGGCTACTTTCGTCACCTAAGACGTACAATTTGCGTTCGATGCAGTCCTTCATAACCGCCTGGTGAGGAGGATGCAAGAAAATTGATGGCCAGACTCAGTTTTAAAGTGGACGACGTCATTCCTTGCACAAGAAGTGGATCAAGTCCGACATTGGGAAGGAGTCACAATAGAGTGACAGCTAGTCTGCGGAGTCCCATAGAGCTCGCCAATCTCGCCTCTTCTCTTTCTTCTGTACATGGCAGAGCCAATGCGCACTGGTACGACCAATCCAAGGTTTAGTTACGCTGACGACATCGGCATTCTTGGATTTGGCCGCACCACTGCTGAGTCTACTGTCGCTGCTCAGAAGGAAGTTGATCTCTCACTGGATTGGGCGCCGGAGAATGCCGTCCATTTTGACACTGAGAAGTCAGAGGTAGTACAACTCCCAACTCGGCATCGCGAGGCAGCTGTTGGCTTCTACGTAAACGGCACTCTAATTGAACCCGCCGAACATTTTGACTAGCTTAGAGTTCACCTCTATCCACGACTTAACTCCAAGTATCATTTGATGTCTTGATTCGGAAAAGCATTGAAAGTCGCACATCTTTTGCGACGTTTCAATTCTACTTTTCGAGGAGCCGCAATAGGAGCGCTGATACGAGCATCAAACAGCTGTATTGTTTTCATCGCGACTTTTGGGGCGAAAGCCTGGTGGCCAGGCCTCAAACGCCCAACAAGAGCAGGAATAGCCACGCCAGCTATCGCGAGCCTCTGTACTATGATCGACAAGGCTAACATGATGGGTCTCCGATCTGTACTTCCAGTTCTGCGGACTACTCCTAATGTTGTCCTGCACAGGGAAGGAGGAATGCCTCCCGCAAATATTATTCTAGAGGGAAATCGACAACGATATTCAGCCAGAATAGAAACCCTTGATGATCGGCACCCGTTGAGATCTGGTGCTACGATGTTCGCAAACGTTGGGGCCCGAAAGTACAAGAAGAATCCACGAGGATTTGATCATGTAGATAGACAAAAGACTCGTGCACAGCGAGCTTATCGACAACTTCCGGACGTAGAAGCTTCGACGCCTCTGCCGCCGCCATCCTACTCTGCTAGATCCATGACAAAGTCAGAAGGAAAAGAAGCGAGCAAACTTTGGATAGACAACGTGCCCGTATCGGAAATTTACGCCTACTCAGATGGCTCTTCGGAGGGAAACGGACGTTCAGCTTGGGGTTTTGTTTTGAAGAGATTTGGTAAAACTCTTCACAAGGAGAATGGTATCCGATACGGAGGAGAGGTCCTGGATGCGGAAATCACAGGGGCGCTAAAGGCTCTTAAAGCGGCACTGAGAACGAAAGAAGCGCAATATCAGTAGTAGGGGGCAATACGGCAAGTGAATGTATTGCTGGACAGTCAGCATGCTTTCAGTATCAGCTATCGTGACAGTCAAGTGGATCCTCGGTCACTCAGGAAAACAGGGAAACGAAGAAGCAGACGCAATTGCGCGCTCCGGTTTACGAATGTTGCCTAGTCCGGACAGTCAACCAGGATCTATCTCGCTTGCATACCTTCGCCGTCTCATGAACAACCAGCTACAGGCTTTGCTCAGCGATTGGTGGGATAAAGCGTGTCCTGTTCGGTACCGAAAGCTAGATCTGCTCATGAAACGGCGCAAGCCGCCAGAGCTGGCTGTATCAAGGCATTTACTCCGCGAACTAATTGCAGCCCGTACGGGGCACGACAATTTCGCGGCCTATCATCGCCGATTCAACAATGCAGACGCACCTAGTGAGTACGCGTCTGGGAAAGAGACTAGTCCAACCCACTTTATACACTGTCGACTATATTCTCACGAAACACGTCGAATACGAGGTCTAAAGTCCCACGACGACTTCCTACACCAGCTTCTCGGACCTAAGTGCCTCGAAGACTTCAGAAACTTGGCACAGAAAATCCAATGTTATGGGTGATCAGCTGCAGGCTGGACCTCTGCTCTCAGCGAGGTCCATATAAATTAGCCATGTAATATGACCCGATCGGAAGGAGAACGAGGCGAGGAGCTTTGCTTCCCAACCATAAGTGCTGATATTTAGTTGGAGCTCAAATTTCTAGAGCCTGGGGTTATGTTATGGTTTCTATTTTTTTTAATATAGCTGCATGTAATTTAACTGGCTACTATTTGTGTAGTGGTTCACGTGGTGGGAACAAGCTGAGCGTGTCATTGATTTGATCTTAGCTGTAAACACCGGTCTTTGACCCTTAGGGGATAGCGGGTGTAACCTAGGACTTGAAAATTTAAACAAACAAACAAACATGACCGGTGCTATGTATACATGTGGGATGACTCTTTTGACGTCAGAGACACTCATACTCTGGATTTCATTCGCAAATACCACTACGAGGTATGTTCGCTTACACAGTCAACCCTCCTCCGTAAGTACCCACCAAAGGGAAATTCAAAACCTTTGATTGTCAAAGCATGCCTTCGTCATCTATGTAAACTAGCGCTGCGAAAAAAGTGGTTGTGTTTGCCGGATTTGAACCAGCGATGTCCTATCTCAGGTGGGATATGTGTTTAAGCTATCCAGACTCTACTTGGCAGACCAGCCAAGATGATGTACCACCGCACCATCCAACCATGGCAGTTTTTGTAGTGTCGCCTGCACTCTCGCGACCGAAGTCTTGGCGCGCACAAAGCTCGATTTGTAAAAACTCCTTTCCAAAATTCAAAATTCCACACCCGTCGAGACTGTATCCAATCCTCTGCATCATCTTATCAACTTGTCCTGATCCCTCTCACATCCATCCCAAGGAATTGTCTTTCGGATTTGTGCGCCACGCTTTGCTTCCTCCGTCGGGTGTAAATATCGGCGTGGGCGTGTATCTGGCGACCAGCTAAGGCCAGAGAAAGTCGACAAGAGGTGTGGTCATTGGAATGAGGATGTACTAGGTCGTACTTGCAGACTTGATGAGACTTAGGTAGGAATCGATTTCGTTGGGAGTGAAAGATTGATATGGTGGAGTATTTTGAATCATTGCCTCGTGGGCCAACTTCTCTGATATTGCGAAATTTGACTGAACTTGGCTCGGAGAGAAAGATAAGAAATACTGTAGTTAATTAAACGATACCCGGTATTAATAGAAAATCAAGTTACATCTAGTCTTAAGCTCTACAATATGTATTGGTAGTTTGGAGCCACGAGACACCCGTAACCAACATTATCATAAAGCTAAGCTAATTTCACTCTCACACATACTAATGCATCAGGAACCTCAACATGGCGTCAAGCCAGTGGATGCTGAAAGTAAGTCTGGAGAACTCGGGGTTTTTGCGAAGTTTAATTTTCATTAGATTATATTACAGTCCTATCTGATTCTATCACTATGGGTGAGTTCTACAGTCCACTTGAAAAGGACTAGTTATATTTAGTATGTTCTATCCAGATTAATTTACACTCTATTCTGATGGGTATTTTCGAAAAGGTCCTTTCGAGACGTTTCCCTGAGTGAGTATTCACGCGTGAGGGCTAATATGGGATGAAAAAGCCACTATTACTTCCCAGTGGTACTTGCAAATGAAATCCGAGGCATGAATGCCATTCTTTTACATTGAGTCATCTACTATGTACTTTTCTTTGATATTGTGTCATAGCTAGATAGCTGCATACGCAATGAAAAACTCATGCAAAAAAAGATGTAGTATTGCCGGCCAGAACTCAGCAAAATTCACCAGCTATCCTACGGCCACGATTTTCCAGAAATTTTCGCATGCTGGTGATCTCCCGATGCCCACCCTTTTTCAGGTAGAAACAATAAACGTCGTGTATAATTTTTCTTAAGTAAATTTATGGAATTTCAATCATGTTCAACCCTGACAACAGAATGTCTTGGATAGCAAAATTTTATCATCTAGCACTTAGTAAACTGGATGACTCATTTTCAGATCGTATTGCGAAGTGCACGAGGGTATCGGGCCTAAGCAAGCCAATCATGCCTAGGCCTATTTAGTCTTTGGCGTCCTCTAGTCGCTAATGATGACTGATGAGGTAGTTATTTCACCAAGTGACAAGGCTTCATCTTTTGTCAGTTACAGAGTAGATTTTAGTCCTTATTTCACGTTTATAAAGTGAGGAAGAAGTGTTGACAGCATACTCTCACTATCCACAACGCCCCGGACCCACTAGATGCCGGGTCTTGGCGAATACGACAGGTGCACGACGATCGAGATAATTGTCTAGTATTTTTCCGGGCTCTTCTCAACAATCCAATGCTGGCTACCAGTCGGGTAATAGGGCGAAGGTGTGTATACCACACGGCTTTGACAGCTCCGAATCCAGGCTCATCACTTCTGCCGCTCTCAACAGCAATCTGTCAACCCTTTTCAACCTCTCGGAATCGCCCGTCGCAAATCGGACGCGTGCCGCTCACTATTCCACCTGACGTAAAGTTCTTACTTGTCCAACCCCCAAAATCCAAATACGGCTCAGTATCACCATTGCTAGCACAACGAAAAGTTCAGGTCGAGGGACCGCTTGGTACGAGACTTCAACGAAAAGCATAGGACTGATGCTAACAAACTCCAGGAAAGCTAGCATTGTCTATACCTGCTTTCGTCAATGTCGACTATGACGAGAGTACACGAAAAGCAAGCGTTAGTGTGAAAAATAAAGATATCAAGAAGCAACGGGAAATGTGGGGTATGTTGGTCTATTTTACTGTATCGCTCTCTAATTCCTCTAGGCACCATCCGCGTATACCTTCATAATCACATTCTCGGAGTTTCTGAGGGCCACACAACAATTCTACGTCTGGTTGGAGTGGGATACCGAGCAACTATTGAAGATAACGCAACTACAGTCGAACGCGAATTTGAAGGGCAAAAGTTCGTGTCGCTCAAAGTAGGCTATTCTCATCCAATTGAACTTCCGATACCAAGAGATGTTAAGGCATCGGTACCCCAACCGACCAGAATACTACTGGAAGGGCCAGACAAGGAGAGTGTTTCACAGCTTGCGGCAAAGATAAGAATGTGGAGGAAGCCAGAACCATACAAAGGAAAGGGCATATTTGTTAACGGGGAAACAATTAAACTCAAATCTAAGAAGATTAAATAGATATTAAATTAGCTCATCTATCTCAGTGTGGAGTCATTATGGTTTGAGTGCCTTTAAATTTTCGAGGTTAAGACTGTTTGAACAACATTCAATACATTGCCATGTACGGCCTGGGAGGTTGCAACAATGCCTTTGTTTCCCGCAAGTGTTCTTCCGAGGCTAAAATCTAACCTTCGGCCCATGAAATCTGTAACTGTTCCCCCGGCTTCTGTTACGATGAGATAACCAGGGGCGTGATCCCAAATCTTTTCCTGATAATCAGCCCGCACTGATAATCTCAGGTAAATATCCGCTGCTCCACGGGCAAGACAGGCATATTTAGCTTGAGAATCCATACGAACGCTGGGGTTAGTGACTCCTAGCTTTGTGGCAATTTCGTGATGATGCCCGTGGGACGAGTGGCCAGTCTCGACGCTCTCGCAAAAAGTGGCTAGTTTAATATCCGGAACAGGTCTCATCCGAATCGTTTTACTCGGTTCAAGAGAAGCAGTACCAAGGGGTCGACTCGTGGCTCCTTGGCCAGATACTGCGGCTATTAAAACTCCATTTCCTTCAGCACTAGTCTGATTGTAGCCTGATTCCACGGTGACTGGAATAGAATCATCAACAGGAAGATTTGGACAGCCTAGCACACCCACTTTAACTTCTCCGTCTACCATCAGGGCGAGACAGACAGCATATTGACCACCTCGGAGAAAACCTTTGGTGCCATCGATTGGATCTAGCGCCCAAATTCTTCCACGGCTTCCTCCAGAGCTGTTCCCCTCATCAATTGCATCTAGCATGGCGGAGACAGAAGGAATGGATCCGCCCAAGCTAGCTTCAGCGGTGGCGTCGGTCAAGTGGGTGGTCCGAACGCGTTGCCAGATCTCTTCGCACAGGTCACTGTTTGTCCGCAACGAGTCTGCTTCTTCCTCGCCCACAATTTGGTCGTCGGGAAAGTTATGGCGTAGAGCGTGGATAATAAGTGCTTGTGCACCAAAATCCCCAATGGTAACAGGGGAGGCATCATCCTTGGAGATGGTGCCCTTCAGTTTCTCTAGAAACACTTGCTTGGTCAGGATGGCTGCCCGTTGAACCGCTAACTGAGCTATTTCGGCTTCGTGTAAATACGACGACGACGATGACATTTCGAGGGCAGTAGCAGCGGCGGCGCTATTTTAGGACTTAATTTTTGAGATCCAGGACCTGCACAGTCAAATTTATATTTCTGCGTAGTTTGTGCAGGCAATTTAGAGAATGGCGTATTGGTTGATCAGACCTGGATAGAGGGGGCGTCGTGGCCAAAACTTCCGGCTCCGAGACAATCATCATGCTCCACTAGTTTCGCCTCAGGCATTGATATGCGATACTCAGAGTTGTTCCAACCAACTCATAAATTGAGTAATTCGAGTACTGGAATTTCCCAAATTCCATAGTGCAGTGATGTTAGTGTCACTTGGTTTGCCTTCTCACTCGGTTAGTGTTTTCCACGCCACTTCACTACCTCTACGTTGAACCAGCTATCATCGTGGCTGAATCCGCATGGAGCTCAACCTCAAGCATATTTAAAGTCGACTTCCCATCAATAACAAGGCTATCATTCTCACTCGAGTCCTCCAACTTCATCATACCGCAAACCATCACGCCTCAACGACTGCTCAAGTAGTTGCAGCAATTGCAAGCAGGAGTTTACCTTGTCAAGAATCGACCATCTCCCACTAGAGAGTTACGATGCTATGTACACCCGCGCGGATGAAAGAAAGTTATAATATGCAAAGCTCGAGTCTTGACCTATGGAGAGCCGCTGTCCACGGGGCTTATATCATGAGGGAGTAAAGGCTATTGGGAAGTGGTCAGAGAGAATCATGAGGCCAATGATAGGCATGCCAGAAGTGCTATTTTTAAGAGGATTTCGACTTTAGAGCGCTCGTAGGTGCCAAGACAAAGACTTCGAATAGTGCTGCCGAAACTTTCAATATAGGATACACCACGTTTCCTTCGGGGGACGGAGGTGTGAGACGATGACTTCGGTTAATACGACAGTGGTTTGCGCTAGTCAAGACATTGCCGTAGAAGTTGATTTATTGGTGACTAACGTCGGGCGATATAGGAGAGGAGCAAGGTACTGGAACTAGAAATTGGGGTTTATTTCATGCTTTTTTCCTGGTTCTTTTGAAATGATCATCTGGTATTATTGACACTTTCGGAATCAACTGCCCTTGTCATGTCAGATCAGATGCGAGGCTTGTGCCTGGCAAGTGAAGTTAACAATTATTCGACCGCTGATTCCTCACCCGCACGTTTTGATGGTATAAAAGCTACGGATAGAGCATAAAACATTGACCTCCATACAAAAAGTCACACCGGCTTACACAGTCACAAAACATTCGAAAAGATGTGCGGTCAAGAGCGATCACCTCTGTACGCAAAGGGATTCGTGCGGCACATGTATTCCTTCATCTTCAGGCCCAATACCTGATTAGATTTTTGTAAAGCTTCACAGTTTGACTCTAAATGATGTTTGCCATATCCCTGAACCAAGCGGGACTGTAAAGCCTTTGCTTCATGGTGAGTCTCCCAGACCTGGCAGTGATTGGGGGCCTTCAACTCTCTATCGAGACATTGGTGGCCACTAAGTGTGTGTGTTCATCGTACTACTTGAGTTTGTCACTGCCTAACACATTGGGCTCCTCCCTGGCCTATACCACACCTTGTACAGTGCTCCCTGTTATGATGTGAAATCACTCAGTCAATTAGACAAGCTGTATTAAATGATATAGAGATCTATACAAGATGTGGTTGGTGTAGTGACATCATAGACAGCTGCATGTGGATGGTAAGAACAAGAATGTAAACTATTCTACAGCATATGATAGAATATCTTGCATCACAACATGGAATATTCCACTAGCAATTAGACAGATGAGCTTTAGGTATGAATAGGAGTATTCTCCTTCGTATAGATAGCAATCATTGGAAACGAGTCTAATAAAGCGAACACACATCATCGTCCACTTCATAATAGTGTCAAGCACATATTGATAAATCCACTGTTTGTATGCAACTCCTCTCCTCAAAATGACAATACTCCCATCATCTTCTATTACTTGAAAAATAATTGATATATTGCCCGTGATGAATAGCCATTCAGCTCAGTATTTACCCGTGTAATCCAGCCACCTTTTCCACAGAACCTTCTCCCCCCCCCCAAAAAAAAAGGCAGCATCGGAAACTGCACGTGCGGGAAAAGGTCTCTAAAAACCTGCTTCCTCAGCCACACAGGTGCACATATCTATCTTTATCTCCCTTTATAATATTGGAGGCCATTTTGATCTAATCCAACATCGCCACGTCAGATGCTAGGTGTGCTCCGGAAACTCATCAGGTGGCTTCTCCTTGATTAAGGTTTGGTGATAAGAAGGGCTTCGACCCTACCACCTGATCTAATCGTAGTTGGCTTCACGATAATGGTGATAGTGGGGTTGTGCTTAGGGGGCAAGAAGATACAGACGGCGAGAGCGATTAAGAATCCTCATCGAAGTGAGGACGGAAGTGTTCCTCAATTTCGGCTCCAGACCATGCAATGAGAACTAAAATTTTGTTAGAGACACCACTAACAGGCGTTGAGAATAGTCCCCGTTGGAAGCCACTGACACATCGCCAGTATGGTAACGAAGACCAAATTAGAGAATGGCCAGCACCCCATAACGTTTATTTGGTCACTGTTGTAGAAGTATCACATCGGGGTAGAAATATGTTGGGTTTTCTCTAGACTAACACCGTAGCGCTTGCATGGACATCAATAAACTATAAATGCACTACAAATCACTCGACGCTCTTGGGTGGGATCTACCTGCTCAGAAAGTTTGATTTCTCTGAATCAGAAAGGAACTGCAGGTGAGTGAGGTAGACCTTGAGGAGTTCTTGCGATGTGTAAAGCAACAGGTTAAGCCTGGCCACTTGAAAAGCCTATGGAAAATCGAAAAGGCACCGATCATTTTGCTTTGATTACTCCAAGAAGTACTTAAAGTGGTGGAGAAGGCTCCAGAATTAGGCAGTGGAAGAACAGCTCCCTTATAGAACGAATAATTCCGCGAAGAATGGCGCAAATTCAAGAAAAAAAGGACACTCCCAGTATCATCATACTTAGATCAACCGTAGAGCCGCACCTACTTCGCATCAATGAAAACTGACGGATTTTAGATCCGGGCAAGCAAGCAAATATAATTGAGATACATATTCGTCATGGTACGGTGTGAACAACGATTCCTTGGAATGGAAAGGAATACATCTAGAATCAATCCCCTGGAAATTATCATATCTACCGAAGATATCACAGTTGCAATAGTCGGATCGCGAGGCTCAACTCCTGGAATCGCCGAGGTAACAGTTCGTGATAGTATAAATTGCTTTACTTCTGAAACATAGACGGAACCTTTCGAGCGATAAAGACGAGCGTCTAAATTCCCTACAGGAGAGCTTAGGCAAAAGGTTGGAACGCCTAGTCGATAAGAGAGTAGCATGGCTAGCGGTCACCTACAAGGTGGTATCCCTACAAATGTTCTGCGGCCTTCCAGGACGATCTACCATTAATCTTGTCTCTTGCGTTACCCACAATGCAGAAGTAACGATGATAAACGTCAAGTTTCTAGGCATAGCTACTCTGGATGTTCCAGATGCCTTTGATATAGTCCTTCACAACTGTTTATACGAACGGCTGCGGGGTTCAAAGAGCCTATTTACACCATTTCGATGAGTCCAATCATTTTTGACCAAATTAAAATCCGCATAAAATGTCGTGAAGGAGTTGTAGAAGAGAAAGCTGTGGAATGCGGGGTGGCCCAGTGATCACCACTTTCACCTCCAATTTTCTTGCAATATATGATCGTCTTATTCCAAGATTCAGATCAATTCAGCAAATTCGGATAAGCTGATGATGTCGCGACCATCTCCGTAAGTAACAGTCCTAGAGAAACTGTGTTGACCCCTTAAGCGAATGTTTATAAGCCACTTGAACT